TCGTAGATGCTGAGAGAGGCAAGGTCGAGATCGGAATCTGCGTCGCCATCGCTTCGACTAGCCGTCGAAAACCCAAAGTTTGATTTGTCGAAATTGACATCGTGACTGATCACCACCTGCCCCGCCTCGATGTCATAAACTCGATACGCCTTCGACACTTCTTCATAGCCCATGAACAACCCAGCGCGAGCCTTGGGATCCCACTTGAGTCGCTTCTCCCTCGGAGTTAGGACATACGTTCGACACCCGAACACACGCATGTGCTTCACACTTGGCTTATAATTGCACAAGATCTCATATGGAGTCTTGTTTTTGATCTTGGGTGACGGCAGGCGGTTCTTAGCGTAGATAGCAGCCATCAACGCTTCACCCCAGAAACACTGCAGCATGCTGCGACCAATCGTGACGATAGTCCTGATAGCTCCTTCTGCAGTGCCGTTCGTCTGGTGCGCGTACGGAACCGTGGTCTGCTTTGCGATGCCTTGATCTTCATAGAGCACCTTGAGTGAATTTGTCGCGAGCTCACGAGCTCCATCATGGCGTCCGAACTTGACCCGCTTGCCGAATTGCGTTTGTCCCTTCGTGATGTAGCTCTAGAGCCATTCTTCAGCGTCCGACTTGGCTCGTAGGCAGAAACCCCTTCATGCATCCGCTGCCATCGTCAACGATGAGCAGCAGATACTTGCTCCCACCCAACGATTCGTCTTTCATGGGGTCACAGATGTCGAAATGAAGCAACTCGAACGTGTCGTAGCTGCGCTTGTCACGGCTACTGGGGACCGGAGTCTGGGCCACTTTTCCTTGCTGATAACTGCGGCAGACACTTTCCTCACTTGACTTCAAAGGTTCCTTGACGTCCTTGATCATGCCGTTGTTGACTATCTTGTGTAGCACGTCGATAGGAGCATGATTCATGCGCGCGTGCAAGTCAGCGTTCGACTTTGAATTCACAGCGTTTATCGAGCATATTGATGTGCGCAGCCCATAGAGCCCGTCCAGGAGGTCTGCTGTAGCCACCACTTCCTTCGAATTCTTGCGCGCAATGTGCATGGTTTCACCGTCGAACACCACTTGAAATTTGCCGCTCTTGTTGATCTGCGGCACCGATAGCAAGTTTTTCTTCATATTCGGCACGTAGAGCGGTTTTGATCTCGATATCGCGCTCATCGCCGTCGGGCAGAACCACGCGCTCACAGATGGTTCCCACACCCTTGTTAGTAGCGTTAGTGCCATCAGCGACCTTCATCTCGTTCCTTCAGCACGACGAACTTAATCTTGTCGTTGCAGATATGGTGCGCCGCACCGCTGTCGACTGCCCACAGCCCGGACATACTCTTCTTGTCCGTCAAAACTCCACATTCCAACGAATCCGCAAACGCCACGCGTTCATAGCTGTATTCGTAGTCGTCGTATCGCCACTGGACATTGTTGGCCCCGCGTCCACGACTATTGCAGCCGCGTCGGCCTCCTCGATTCTCGTCTTTCTATTTGGTCCAGCACTTCTCAATCACGTGCCCCAGTTTCCCGCACTAAGTACACTGGCGAGACTCTTGCTCAATACTAAACGCCTTCGCCGCGTCTTCCGTCTTCACCGCTGAGGTCTTCTCGCCTTGCGCTTGATTTGCTCGTTCGTGAGCACCTTCACAACATATTGGGTCTTCAGGTCAGCAATACGCATCTCCAGGTGTAGCACGACGTTCTCGTAGCGCTTGAAGAGACTGCACTACAAGCAGATCGCCACGTCCTCGTCCTGCATCTTGGCGCCGATGCTACTAAGCTAGGCGCTGATGTTGAGAGCTTCATTGCAGTGATGCAACACATTCGGCCTTCAGACATTTCCATGTTGAAGAGCTGTCGCTTCAGGTAAATACGACCGGCCTTCTGCGATTCCCTGTACAACGTCTTCAAGCGCGCCCACGCGGTCCACGCTTCCTCGCAGCAGTCGACCACGTGGTGGTAGTCCACATCCATGTGAAGCAACATCAATCCGAACGCGATGTTGCTCGACTTGACATACTCGCCCTTCGCACGAGGGTTCGTGAAGCTTGGAGGCGTCTCTCGTCTCACGTCATGCCATACCGACTTGGTCAGGAACACACCACGCATGTGGCGGCTCCACGTCGCGTATTTGTCGCCATTGAGCTTGTCGGTGGAGATCTTAGTTGAAACGCCTTGCGCAGAGGACATGGTATTTGGGCTCATAACCTAATAGAGGTCACGGGTCTTGGGCAACGTTAAGCTTCTACGGAGCGAAGGCAAGATTTACCACTCGGGGAAAAGACCGGAGCCAAGACACTTGAGGAGAAGAAGAAAGATTCCGAAGTGATTGATTTATCGGAGCTTACACTGTCCTCACTACCTAGGCCATCCAATCATTTGGTGCATCCAACTACCAGCACTCCAATCATCCTACTCGTCTAATCATCGGTAGCGTAATCAACGTCCAGTTAAGGAGCGAGGGAAAACGGGTAAGATGGTTTATGTCAGCATTCTATCCCATATATCCTACCAGCAGCTTGTAGCTAAGCAATACAATATTAGTCTCGATAAATTGAAGAAGCACATCTCTTCTGAGTATAAGACTGATCCAAAGTATCGTTTCTACAAAGGGAAGGATATGGAGTCACACCTCTATGAAGCAATTCAGCCTAGTGATTTATACGATAAGCTTAAAAACGTTCTAGCTACTTAAAATAATGCATTCAAGATTAACATTGCGCTTGGGTATGATCTCATTAGTAAAACGGACGATAGCTTCAGTCAATCTTGGCACCCTAATATTGAAAATACGCGTGTGTTTGAGGGTCCTATTCCTATAAATAGTAGAGGTGATATAAGTAAGATAGTTATTTCTGATATTCGATCGATGGAGCTCGCGGACAAATTAAAGTATCCTAGCTCTGGTTACAAGCTTAAATCTATAACTGGATTTAAGATATTTATTTATCATCGCGGGCACGTATTCGAAGATAGCGAGATCGTAATCCCTAAGATCATACGTGAAAACAAGCACGTAATCAATTTCCCAAAGACAAACAATAAGTGTGTTTTCCATTGCATTGCTTGGCATTTGTTGGGGGATAGTAAGAAGTATTCTCATAGAATTCAGGCTCAGGTGAAGGAAGTGTTTAAGCGCTACTGTAGATACGAGAGGATTGGCTATACGTTGGGCCTCTTCCGTAGCCTTAAGCAAATTGACCTTCTACAGCTTGATGAGCTTGAGGAATGCATTAACGTATACACCATGGATGTTGTTGATACTGGAAAGGTTGACTGTGTATGACGCTCCGATAAGAAATACGATGCTATGATAATTCTATCGCATGAGCATCATGCTCTGTACATCAAGAACATTGACATGCTACAAAGCAAGTTTTAATGCGCTAAGTGTGATATGGTATTTTCAAGATCTGACAAGCTGTACTATCACAAAAGGAATCAGTGTGAGATTACGAATAGTGAGACCTTCCCAGCCGAGCCAACGATCTATCGCCCGGCTCAAAACACCATTTAATCAATGCTCACTAAGTACTCAATCAAATAAACTGATCACTATCTCGATCATTTCATCGTTTATGATGTCGAAGCTATTCTAAAGCCGATGCTATCCAAGCATGGAGAGAATACTACGTTCACTAACGAGCATATTCCTGTTTCAGTATCGATAGCGGATAGCTTAACCGAGGAGGTACGCTGCTTTGTAAACGATGATCTGAAAGCATTGCTTGAGGATATGTTTAAGTACATTTAGAGTGTATCACTCCAAACCAGGAAATGCAATGTGGATAAGTTTGAGCAACTTCTACGGAAGATTATCCTTGCTCACGGCTTGACAGGTATGAAAATCTCAGAATTGCGCTTGAGAAAACCTATACCTTGTCCGATGTAGACAGCTGGATCAATATGATAGCTTCTTTGATTTCTACAACAGTATTGGCTTTGCTAAACAAAAGCCTGGCTATGGTAACGTCAAACAGCAAATTGATCAAGTACTAGTACTAGATTCAATAGTGGTCGCTATGACATCAACTTGGTCAAGAACGACTTGTTCGCCGTTATCGGTACTGACAACATTGATTCTGTTATCAAAAAACCTAGCTATATGTGCATCGCTACATCGAGCATTAAAATGCTTGACATTAGTAATTATGTTGCAGCTGGTACTAGTACAGCAAGTACCTGAG